CAACTTTACTAATTCTGGTCACTGAGAATGAAAATGATGCTTAAAATTGTTCATTGGCTCTAGTTTTCAAGATATGCTACTGGGTCAGTATATACGACATTTGACTTGGGGATGGCGGAAGATAAGTGAGTTCTAAAGAAAAGGGACCTCAATTTAAACCATAAATGACTAAAATACATATTTGACTGGATCTATGAGTAAATCTATGATTGAGTTTGGACAGTACTTGCTTTTTGAGAAAAACAATGAATTATGCAATCTGAACCTGGCATTGCATCATACATGACATGAATTGCATCATGTTATTCCTAGAAGTCATGGATGATGCAATCATAACTAGGCTTACATCCCTCTGCTGAACAAATTGCCCGATATCAGCTCTAGAAATCATACAGTGTCGTGCTCTCTTAATTGTCAGTGTTCGATTTTGCAAAGGGACACATTTCTGTTGAGCCGAAGTGAGCAGAGACGCCTCGTACGTGTGTGAACAAAGCAGATCACTTCTGCTATGTTTATGGTGAAGTGATTTTTGCATCACAAACGCGCAGTATAACCACTATGGTTAAGACAAGCCTATCACCTTTATTTCGGCTGAAAAATTGGAGATCAGGACAAGATTTGGGCCCCACATATATGCTTCAACACTTGTGCAACAAATATTTGTCAGTGGTTGAACAGGAAAATGAAATCTATGCCTTTTGCAGTGACAATGATTTGGAGAGAGCCAACAGATCATATAAGCAATTGTTACTTCTGCATGACACCTCCAATTGGGAAAGGTGTGTCAAAGAAGAAAACGTGGACTGTGCATTATCCAAACATTTCATCAGCTATACGCCCAGTACCCCACGGAGAAGGACTGTCCGTTCCTGATGCACCAGAATCACTCACTTGAGTCAGACGAGGAAGAGGATGAAACTTCTGGTCCTGAACGATCAAGGTCACATGACCCATATTTTCTGCCATCCTCCTCCTACTGAACCACACCTCGTAACAGAAGGTGAACTGAAAGACCTTGTCAGGGATTTGGAACTACCCAAGAGTAAGGCAGAGCTGTTGGGCTCCAGACTGCAGCAGTGGAATCTCCTCCATGTTCCGTGACAGACAAAATGATCTTATCCCATTCGTCTTCATGGAAGATTATCTTGTAGCCTGCAACATTGATGGTGTGATGGCAGCCCTCATCATTCTAGATTTGAAGCTTTCGTGACTGTAAGGATTCATACTCTTAGGTTTTTTCGGTAAAGTCACGTAGGTAAAAATAATAATAATAAAATAAAAGAATAATAAATGAAAATAGCTACATTAAATCACGACGTTTCGGAAGCAACACAACCCTCCGTCATCGGGTGTAACTGCTCCAGTAAAATTACTGTAGCTACAGTAATTATTTAAAAATATTTTTTTACCTACGTGACTTTACCGAAAAAACCTAAGAGTATAGCCCTCAACATCTTTCATGATCCAGATGAGTGGAGACTGTTCGTTGATTAATCGAAGATGAGTCTTAAAGCTGTTTTGCTGCATATTGGCAATAGTTTTGGCATAAATTCCAGTTGGTCATGCAGTCCATATGAACTTTTGAGGTGCATAATCTATGACCAACATCAGTGGCAGCTTTGTGGCGATTTGAAGGCTGTTGCTCTCTTGCTTGGTCTGCAGACTGGATACACAAAGTACTGCTGTTTTCTCTGCAAATGGGATAGTCGTGCGAGAGATTCACACTAAATCAAGATAGATTGGCCACTCCGACAGTCATTGGAGCCTGAGAGGAATTGTGTTCAGCATCCACCACTTGTTGAATAAAGGAAGATGTTGTTACTTACCACCCTTACACATCATGCTGGGTCTGATGAAGAACTTTGTCAAAGCCATGGACAAAACACAAGCAGCTTTCAAGTACCTCCGTGAAAAATTTCCAAGGTTAAGTTAAGCTAAGCTAAAGGAAGGTGTCTTTGTTGGTCCTCAGATTCGTGACCTTCGAGATGATGCATTTGACAGTGCACTGCGTGGCAATGAAAATATGGCATAGAAAGCCTTCCAGTTTGTGGCAACACATTATCTCGGAAACAACAAGATAGACAACTACAGGGAGTTGGTGGAAAACCTCCTCAAGGCATACAAAAGCCTCGATTGCAACATGTCACTAAAGATACATTTTTTGCACTCTCATCTAGATTTTTTCCCACCGAACTGTGGAGCAGTGAGCGATGAGCATGGCGAGCGATTTCACCAGGACATTACAACAATGGAGAAACGCTATCAGGGCAAATGGGGCCCATCAATGCTTGCACACTATTGCTAGACAGTGACAAGAGTTGGTCCATTTAATGAATACAAGAGACAAGCCAAGAAGCGCTGAGTAGACACTGAATAAGGACTAAACTATGTACTTATATATACTCGTTTTTTGCGTTTGTTTCATAATACATTTCATTTATATAACACTTTTGCTTATTTTTAAAGTGTTACATAAACAGTACAGGTGACATGTTATCATGTAAAGCAACAATAATAAACAGCACATGTCATCTCTGAAGCAAACGACGTCTAAAAATTTGAAGACCCGTGTTATTATTACTTTTTCAAGTAGACGTTCTTAACTGCAACCAGAATTCCAATCTTAACCTTGATCCTAATCTTATCAGTCGGATTAACCCAAAATAATGATTAATATTAACGTACAGAAATAATGATATTAGTCTCAATTACAACCTATTGTTATCGTGTTCATTGACTACCGAAGTGACTTTGATTTAAATAATTAAAAATGTAATAAGGATTTTTTTACTTGAATTAACATAATTAACTGTTTAATGTACGTAAATGCAATGATTGCCATCTGATGGAGAGAGGTGGTGCAGTGGTTAGCACGCTGCGTGACAATTCCGGTGACTCGAGTTCAATTCCCGCTCACGTTCAACACCAGTGACGATTATCTAACCGTTCGGGCGTGGTGTTGGTCACCCACTCCTCGTGTGCCATGCAAGCCTCTATAGGTGCTCGCTAATAGCACTTGCCCCAGAATTGTTTTGGCCAAAATGGGGAATCTTTGTCTTGTCATATTTAAAGATTTCTGCAATTTTGGCTCTGGATTAGAAATTTAAAAATACTCTATAGACACTGTAGATAGTAGTTGAGAGAACCGTCCGTGAAGGCTGGTATAGAGTTATTGCCCATGTAGCCATGGGGGGGAATTTTGGCTAAATGGTATTACACGTATATTGAACACGTGTATAATGTTTCCTTTATTATTCAGTCATAAATGATCCTTACAATGTTGCTGTGTTATCCACCGTTAACTTTCCTTGGAGAATGTTAAATGTAGCAGCCAATTTTAAGCATGAAAAAAAATCACGTCAATGTCTGCACGGCATAAGGTATCCAGAGTGTTTTCTTCTGTTCTGTTAATTAAGAGTACTGTACATTTTGAAGTGTTGCTATGGTTTGAATGCTTTACAGGAAAATTCATTATAGCATTCACTCTCGAAGGGATGGAGTTTCTCACCTGAGGAAGCATTGGGATTGTGTTATAGTAGTTTTGAGCAAGTACTGTGATGGCTGTATTTTGGATTGACCTTGAGAGAAAATCCTTACCTGCATTGCCAAAACTTAAAGTGTATTCTATGTTTGTTTTACTGGCCTGAGAAATGTCAAAGTTTCTTGGTTACCCTATTTTCTTTACAACTGCTCAAGGCACTATTTGCACAAGCGTATCAATTGATTAAATTATAGCATATCATTTCTTTTTATATAATTTTATGACATGACAGCATGTCATTTTCTTAAAAGATAAGCTAAGAAATAATGGAATATTGCAGTAGATTTTACTTGGCTACACGTATGACTGGCATTAGAAGGCTTTACTGTGTAGATTTCCGTGGATGTGTTGTATTGCTCGCTGATATCAGTTTGAGCCGTACTGCTCGTTGTTCGGCGTAGTGTCTGACATTTCCTTCCACATGCTGGGAGCAAATTCAATTGTTGAAAAGACATCATGCTGAAAACTCATTGGAGAGCTATTAGAAAGGTTTGGTTTATAATTTTTGGTGATTCAAACAACACTATAATGTCTGTGTGTCCCACACGTGCCTTCACTACACGTCGGCCAGTCCCTGTTTTTCGCTTGCAAGTTTCATATTTACTGCAATACACCCGTCCTTGGACGGGCAAACGGCTAGTCTATATATATAAAAGGGAAATTTGTGAATATGTGTGTCTGTTCAAAATGTTTAGCGTACTTCCCGACATGCAACAAACTTTAAATTTGCCATGTGGGTACTTTACAGACTGTACACCATGCAAACATTATAAAAATAGACTTTTGTATTTGTTTGGGGACGGGAAGGCGCAATAATGCATATATTTTGCACCGCAAGTGAGCTGTGACGTTACATATCTGTCATGTCACCCGCACATGCGAAAGCGTAACACAGTGTGCCTGTGACGTCACGCACCCCCCCAACCCTCCATGAGTAAAGTACCATACAAATGTGTTGCAGGTCTAAGGCGTTCTTTGGTTATAGACTGCTTATGGCCCGTTATTTCTGTAGGTTCCAATATCTGCTGCATGTTTGGAATTAAATGGTGCTCATAAAAATGTCATTTAAAAGACCATATTTCTACCTACGGGACTTTACCGAAAGAACCAAAGAGTATGGATTCCTGTAGTCACGAAAGCGTCAAATCAAGATTAAGACCATATCTATGTTTTAAGTACTCATTGCTGATTGTATGGATAATTTCTGCGTAGTAACAAGAGAAGTTCACACGTTGCTCAGTTAATGTGCCCTACTGCTCATAGCCATCCCAATTATCCAACAACTGCAACTCGTCACCCTGCCAACCAGCAACGCTTTCAGCCATGCCAAGTTTGAGTTGTCAGCGCCTCCGTCCCGGGGACGATGGCTGCATTTGCAGCGCTAATAGCCCACAATGGACCCGCCGTTTTGTGCCGACGTTCTGTAATTAATAAATGTCCCACGTGTGTCCCTTTGTAGGAGGCTGGGCTCGACACCTCGCAGTCCGCTCGCTTGCGGGGGGAGCCGCTGCACCCCGTAGTCTACGCTTGCACAGCATTGCTCCTCCTCTGCCTGCTCACAACTGCCATCACATACCTCCTTCACCACAGGTTAGGTGACACACTCACTCGCGGTCCTCAGTTGGTTCAGCCACACGAAGCTGAATTTTGGCAATATTTCCCCCCCCACCTCCCCCAGGGTGAGACTTGCACTGTGATCTCGGTGGCTCTCAGCATTATTTGCCGAGCGCAGGCTCCTGCCAAGCCACTGCTGCGCCACGGTTATTACTAGCCATTTAAAAGTTTAATTAATGTATGCTCACAGATATGCAATACTGTATTAGGTTCTCCCATATGATCAAGCGGAGTTTCAGTTGTGGGGTTTTAATACGTTTTTGGTGATAGCTTTATAATTACTCCCCACACTTTGGGTGCACAGTGTTGCTAGGTGGCTCGGCAGGAGAGTAAGTGTCCCACAATCGGAAGGTTCCGAGTTCATATCTTGACTATCATCCCTCTTGGGTCAATGTAATCAGTACCATTTTGCGGGGAAGTAAGGAGATGAGCACTGCCTCGATGCTCATTTGAGGAATACATTACATTGACTTGTTGCTACACTTAATGTTCTTTAACTTTAGTATTTGTTAAATTGAGGGTATTTAATGTAGTCATAATATTAAAAATTGATAATGTTTTGCAGTTATCTTAAGCCTGTTCCAGGCTTATGTGCAAACAGCATGATAGTATCCCAGAAATTGTTACTTTGAGCAAATTGTGCGAAATTTTTAAGTATCGTCAAGAGTTACATTAGTTTGCATTCAAAGTTCAATGCATTGAGAACACGTGTTTTGGCCTGCTTACTGTTTGAGATAAAAGACAAGTGCAAATCAGCTCGCAGAAAACATGCAGGCCCTTAAAATATTTCTGAAATCTGAAAGAAAAAAAAAATTCAGCACATCAGTCAGAAGATAATTAAATTCAATTGTGTTAAGTCACTGAAGCCTAATTTTACTGAAACTCACGTACTGTAATCCAAGCATATATTGACCATCTCCAGGAAACTCTTACCATTTTATGAGCATTCATTTGCTTGCACAGATGTGTTTTCAGGTTTAACTGAATGTTGTTCAGCATGGAGTTTTTGAAATTTAGCTCACACATGATGGGAGCTTATTCAAGAACTGAATTCAGTTGCATTCATTTCAGCTTCAATTGCGGGGAGCTTCTTCAGAAGTGAATTTAGTTGTACGGTAAATCCTCTATTTAATGTTGGGGATGTGTTGCTTGCAAAACGTGATGGAAGGCAAAACAATGTAAATCGAATTTGAAGCTTTAGTGACTGCAGGAATCCATATTCTTTGGTTCTTTCGGTAAAGTCACATAGGTAGAAAAAATAATAGATCACGACGTTTCGATCGCAACGCAAGTAATCGTCATCTTTCTTCCGCCTAATAACGATTGCTTGCGTTGCGATCGAAACGTCGTGATCTATTATTTTTTCTACCTACGTGACTTTACCGAAATAACCAAAAAGAATGTAAATCGAAACCTATTTTATCATTGATTTCATGATACAAATTTAGGATAGGTCCCTGGGGGTAATTTCTTTGTAAAAATTTGCATCAAATATATTAAATAAGTACAAAAGTATAACAAAAGAGGAGCTATGGGGGGAAAACAAAGACTTTATATTTAAAAGTGCATAGTTCTAGTGGCTTCCTAATATCTGAAGGAAGAGCATTCCAGATAGCCGCATAAGTGCATCTGAAAGCGCGCGATGGAGTGACTGTCATTGTTTGATGGTTAGCCAAAAGCCGCTGAGAGGATGACTAGAATTTGCATGATGGGTTATGCTCCTTGACGAGATCTGCAAGATATTGTGGTTCATTTGTGGCAAGCACTTTGTATGTGTAGTGACATAGCGCCGACTGCTGTCCAGCAGTGGCAACTGTGGTGGACAGTTAGCGCACACGCCATTGAGCATATATACGGGTGTGCCGGCAGGGCGGAGGAACTGGGCAAGGGTCATGGAAGACCTCATCGGGAACACTGGAACCCGCTAGTGGGTTCAAGAAGGGAGACACAGCCAGAGCAGAGCCAGGCCGCTCCGAGTAGGATAAAAGCAGTGGAGAGTGAGAGCTCCGGGCTGCCGGTTCTGGGAGTGGACTCGTCTCACCGTTGCTGTCATCTTCGCCACCTTTGTTGCTGCCACCTTCACTCGATAATTGTGCGGCCAGACAGTTGTTGGCTGTCTCGGTCGACTGCTGTCAGTGTAACGCAGTTAGGGTTGTGTCTAGGCTGGGCTGTACGGCAACGAGAAGGAAGAAGGCGAACCTATTGAACCTAAAGAGTGTTATAATAAAGAAGGTGCCTCCTGCAACTACCTCGTGTCCGACTTGTGATCCACTACATCTGGTGTCAGAAGTGGGGTTCCAAAGTAACCCTGAAGAGGAACCCACCTACAGTGTCATCGGGACGAGGATGGCAGGACAGTCATTCCTCCGACAGCCCCGGGACCCCGGTTACGAAGCCCATTGGCTGCGGAGCAGCGGGAGAGCCGCCGCGGATCAGCAGTGACAGCCACTGCGCATTAGAGAAGAGCGGATGCATCTGCAGGGTAGAGCGGCCATGCATCGGCGGGAGAGCTGGCTACACATCGGCGGGAAAGCGGCTAAGCATCTGCGGGAGAGCGGCTATGCATCAGTGGGAAAGCGGCTACGCATCTGCAAATCGATTGGAGAGCGGCAGTGATTTTCCATGGTCACGTGCTGACCACGTAGCATGGCGGAGGACCTGCCGTGTCGAGAGGGGTGCGGGATGTCGCGGAAGACACGCCACTGTCAGTGGCGCAAAGAGGAGTCACGGGGAGACCCCGGCTGGAGCTTTCCTCGGAGTGGGAGCGGAGGAAGTCCAGACCGAAGACCGTGCATATGGTGGGTGGCATTTTGCCGCTGGAAGACCTACCACGGCCAGCGGGCGCTATTTTGAGGACGAGCGCGGGAACGCGCAGAAAGAGGCGTAGAGGTCACCCGGCGCTGCAAGTGGCCTTTTTTGACCTGCCACTGGGAGGCCTGCAAAAGGTTTCTCCAGAGAGAGCGAAGGGATTCCGAGACGCCCTACGCTTTCCGGGAGGCAGCTGCTGGTGCTTGGACGGGAGGCATACCCGCACTTGGGTGAGGGGGCACTCGTATTCTAGGTGGCGGATAGGCTGAGGATTGATGGCGTGGGAGTTGAAGATCGCCCTGCACTTGGTCGTTGGCGCAGAGATCTTGTCCTTAATGGTGGCCCGAAAATATGCAAGCCTACGAGTACCACCAGCATCGGTCAAAGGATAGAGACTGGGCCATGGTGAATGGAGGACATGAGGGCTGCAGTTGGGTGCCCAGGGGACGCGCAGGAGAGGGTCCCCATGGGTGGATTGGCAGCTGGGGCAGTCCTATCCACCCTCGGAACCCACGGCCTAAGTGTTTCATGTGTGGCCGGTTAGGCCATATCGCTATACAGTGTCGGGTGTCAGCGGGGCGCCGGCAGTGTCACCTGATGCCCTCCAACCCACTGGCAACGTGTTCCCAAGCCCCACCTGAACCCGGGTCTCGAAGGCCTTCCTAGACCTCCATGTGCGAGGTGTTCGGGGACCCTATCAGGACAGATGCAGGCCAATTCAGGGAGGGGCCGCGCCCGTTAGGTCGCTGGTTTCTTCTTCTTCCTTCATCTCTCTCCATTCCTCGGAGTCCCAGGGGTGCAAGACCCTGCTAAGGCAGGGATTACCGGTGTTAAAGACTGGCTCAAGTAAGCTACGTTCTGGTAAAAGCGAACTCTCCCTTGCATGGTGGGATATGGGGGAGAGAGGGTGATAGGGGTAAGGGCCTGTGTAAGGGGTTGCGTTGGGTGTTTTTGTCGGTTCACGCGGGGAGCGCCGCATTGTGCTGGGTGTGTTGTGGGGGGCACCACGTTGTGCTATGTGCCGTCGGTTCGTGCGGGGAGCACCGCGTTGTGCTATGTGCTGTCGGGTTGCAGGGAGCGGCGCATTGGGCTGTGTGTTGTTGGTTTGCAAGGGGTCACTGCGGTTGTGTCGCGACTGTAATTTTTTACATCTTTTTTTTCTTATTTTTTTCTACTTTCACCGGTTGCGGCTGCTGCTTTGGCAGCCAGGACGGCTGTTTTTTTTTAACGGGGGGGGGGGGGGGGTGATGTAGTGACATAGCGCTGACTGCTGTCCAGCAACTATGGTGGACAGTTAGCACACACGCCATTGAGCATATACACGGGTGTGCCGGTAGGGTGGAGGAACTGGGGCAAGGGTCGCGAAGCCCTGGAACCTGCTAGTGGGTTCTAGAAGGGAGACACGGCCAGGGTGGAGCCAGGCCATGCCGAGTACGGATAAAAGCAGTGGAGAGTGAGAGCTCCAGGGCTACTGGTTCTGGGATTGGAATCGTCTCACCGTCGCTGTCGTCTTCGCCGCCTTCGTCGCTGCCGCCTTCACTCAATAATTGCGCGGCCAGACAGTTGTTGGCTGTCTCGGTCGACGCCGTCGGTGTAACTGTGGCCGTGTCGAGGCTGGGCTGTACAGCAATGAGAAGGAAGGAGGCGAAGCTGTTGAACCTAAAGAGCATTATAATAAAGAAGGTGCCTCCTGCAACTACCTCGTCTCCGACTTGTGCTACACTACATATGTAATGAGCACCACTTTATAATGTATTTGTTCAGCAACCAAAAGCCAATGCAGGTCAACGAATGCCGGACAGACACGATCGGAATCTTGCAGTACTCATCACAACACAGTACAACCGTGAACTTCTATGCGGTTGCAAACTCCTTCACCAAAAAAAGAGTAAACTCGTCATAAGTAAATAACATCAACCAATCCTACAAACGTTTGGATAATTACTGTTGCATATTTTTGTGCACATGTAGCACTTTTGAACTGGAGAGCGTATGTCTAGTTCGGTGGCTGCACATTCATTGATTAAAAATTAAGAAAATCAGTGAATTGGGCTCACAACAATGGACGTGGAGACTTCTTGCAGGTGGGTTTATTTTAATCTGGGACTCCAGCTCGAACCCTCAGCTCGTTTCTCGCTGCCTCACTGCTTAGCAACATCACTGCTGTG